TTCAAGTTAATCAACACAATGTTAGTTTAGTCTATGTAGTTTCTATTACTATTTTCTGCCTAAAATATAAAATGGACTACTCGTGTCTGTGTTTTTTTTAATTGGAACCAGATGAACAGAAATATCATGTTTTTGTTTTTGTCTCTCGATATGCACGATATATCATACAATCCTTGTATTTTTTTACATTTCAGGGTTTAACAACAAAATATTTCTGACAACACCCAAAGAATTTATGGAAATAAAAGATACAAGAAGACCAAAATAAGAGCTATGATCGATAAAAACCAGCAGCAAACAATATCAGTACAACTCGGCCACAACTACTACATCAAGAAAATGGTACATGTTAACTTTAATTTAAAGGGGCAGTATGCAAAATTTTCATTAAAAAAAACGTTGTTAATTATTCCTGAAAATATTCAAATTCAGGGATACATTTCTCTAGATTTCCGTATATAGTTTTCATAAATTTGATCAGAAGACCTTAGAAAAAACAGAATGCCCTTTTAAAGATGAAACACCTGATAGAACCCTTCTTAAGCAGTTCATTACATTTCTAAAAATTAATTTAGTTTCTCCACAAGAATTAAATCCAAAAATAAAATACTTTACTTTTTATCTCTTTTTTGTCATATTTCTGTTTTTCGTTCATAATAAATTCACAAACAATGTTAAAAGTGTACCCTTCGAAAGGGATGGCAAGTAGACAAACAAAATTGGTGTTCCTAAAGGGTGGGAAAACTATGCCCATTTCAATCTTGACATCAACAAGTACCACTTTCACAAAAAGAAAACTATGGGGTAAATATCATAGAATAATACCTAGCTATAGGATTTAAAAATTTAATTGTGGTAAGTCCAATTCATCTAATAAGGACTGAAAGCTGAAAACAAAGATTGACAAGTCAGAAATATTTTTAAAGACCACAAAACTCTGCATGTATATAGAGGGAAATTATTACAATGGTTTACAAATGGATTATTACAATTGGGTTTCTAGTGCCATTCATTTTTGTCCCAATGAATCATAACATAGCAAAACCTTGTTTACAGGGTAGAAAAATAGGAAATTCAAATAAATTGCTGGATTAGTTAACCAAAGTACACAGATAACTTAAAATCAAAGTTGCTGCCAGTTGCCACGTGTTCCTTGTTCCAAATAGTTGATCCTGTCATACACTGAAGCAGTCAGAATCTGTGATCGTCCGTTTGAAAAAATTAAGCACATAACATTTTAACATAATTTACATGTGTCATCCAGATGAAATAATGAATGAATTATCTCTCTATTATTCCTACATGTTATATATTTTGTTATGTTGTGTTTTATCATTATTTCATCTGATGACAACAAGTGTAAATTGTGTTGAAACATTATATGCTTAATTTCATTTAAGAAATGTGATTATTCTATAATATTTTCTTGTGTTTGTGATGGATCTTTCAATATACAGTCAACATAAGTCTTATTTATTATGTAACAAAATTTGACTATCAGTATTATACTAGTAGAAAATGTTCCTGTGGAGTGCAAAAATAAAGCAATAGAAACCATATTGTAAATCCATTTGTTGTGCTTTTGACATTTTATAGTAACAATTGAACAATATTTACATGTCCATATTAATATTAACATTAGGAAAGCTACATATAGATAATAATTTCTTTTAACATCTAATCAAATATTACAAGTGTTCATCATAATCTGAGTTTATAAAAAAAATATACTACTTGATCTTCCATTTGATGAGAATTATGAATAGCTTATTTTGAACTATCAGTTTGAGTCTTGAAGATCTGTACATAGCAAAAGTGCTTAAAAGCATTCAATCAAGACAGGTAAAGACTTTCATGAAAGTTCCTAGATCCTCAGATCTTCAACTGGTAGTTGTTTCTAACCCAACTGTATGCTAACTTAAAGGTATTGTAAAGAGGTTTTCTTAACTTTTTATGTGTCCCCAATCCAATTTTCATATATACATCTGCAATTCTACTAAAACTTTTAAGAGGTAGATATAGCAAAGGTTCTTATAATATTAATTGCAGTTTTTGTGATAGTGACATTCTATGTCTTTCATTACATAAATGGCTTCAATACACACAAAAAAGGTAAGAAAACCTCTTTACAACCCCAAATTGAGGTGGCTGTGAAATTAATTTATCTTACACCTAATACAAGACAAACTATTAAGTTGCCACAGTCCAAAACAATCCACCTGTCTTTAGATTGTTGATTCTGTGCTCGTTCTTGATTTTATTTTACAACATATAAAAAGTTAATAATGTCAATATGTTAAAAATAATCAAATCAGTTATTCTGGTGCTGAGAAAACTGTTACATAAACATTTTATAATATTCAGTGATGTTTGTAAGTTTAATAACAATAATTAATTAAAGATAATGCTAAACCTAATTTTATATTTTCGTAGGAAATGGACGGCTTTCTTGTCAGATTTGTCCAATATTCATATACAGAAGTATTATTTTACATTTTGTGATTATTGAGAGATCGTCATCCACAATCTGCAAATTTGTCATCCAGGATGTAAACAATACTACACGATTCTAATATACTAGTAGTAAATCTGTCTTAACCCCCTAACATTTACTTAAGAGATGTATTCATAACTGTTGTAAATACTCATCTAATCCTAAAAATAGTATTGCTTACAACCAGATGACACATGGTTAGAGTGTGGACGACAGACTGAAAATTGTCCATTTTCCCAGCCTTATCAAATTAAAATATTTATCATAGTCTAGTTGAGATATTTGTGCACTTTCATATAGGATTAAAAACATTAACACCAACATTCATTTTTAGGAAGCAGACGTACTAATGAACATAAAATAAGACTGAATATCAAGGTTTCAATTACTATTTATGACTATCTTGTCTTGAATAAGCATAAAACTGTAGCCATAGAAAATTAACTTTAGCATTATCTAAGGTATTAAGTAAAAAATATATTGCATGTACTTACAACTTGCGAATGCCACCCTGTTTTTTGATGGGATTAATTTTGTAATCTGGTTCTTTATTTATTGGACCATAAACTAACAACTCTTCACCACGATATCCACTTGGTCTACAAATATATATATATATAAAACATAATCAGTAATAGTTTATTACTGTTATAGAAATACCAGTACCAGTGAAGTAAAATCACTTATTGCTTCAATGTTAATATTCAGAAGCCAAAAAGAGTCAACATCATCATTTCTAAAACACTTAAGTACTCTTGAACATATTTAATTAGTATAGATATATTTTTTATTTTGTTAATGTTGAAGGCAACCATATGCATAGTTCATTAAACAAGAATTGTGCCTTCTAGAGTACTTACCAGCTGTAAATTGAACGCATTTTTAAGAACAAGTTCATTAACTCATAATAAATATTTTTCTAATTTTCTACCTTGCGTGATTACAAACACCCACACCAAGTTTCGTCAAAATCTGTCAAGAATTGTGTGTTTTCGAGCAATTGTGGACGGATGGTCGGACTGACATGTGTGACAGTAATCTATATTTTGGACAATAATACTGTTACTTTTTATAGCAAAATGCTCAAGTTTGAACCTCATATTCATTTGATGATTATATATTTACACAAATCTATAAGGACAGACATTGGGACAGATGGACATGGGTGTTGAAAATACATGTTCACAATAAGAGATGTTAATATGTAGAACCACATAAAAAACACTAACTGTTTGAGCACACTGAACTATTTACATTAAAACACTTACTCTTCATTTTCACCTTGTGGACCCTCCGAACTCTCACTGTGCAGCAAAAGAAAAAACATGCTGGGTTAGATGCTAGATATTAAAGCAAACTGTGGAAGCACAATGCTAAAGCTATACATAGTATAAGTCATTATATTAATTATTTTAACTTTTAAATAGTATTTAACTAAATTCTAATAAGATATGAGAAATAACCTAGTATACCAATGTAAATGAAAGCATAGAATTTGACCTGTCACCAAAGTGGGAATTGTCAAAAGATTGCATACATTGATGAAACAAGTCACAAAATTACATGCACGAAAAAATTTATCCTCCACCAAGTTATGTGCACAGGAGTTTATATGTCCCCAAATTACATGCATGCACAGGAATTTAACCATTGACATACATGCACAGAAACTATCTCTCACCAAATTACATGCATGGAAATTTTTCCATCACCAAAATACACAGAATTATAACTGTCATCAAGTTTGTGAAATAAAGGTTTTATTTAATGAACTTTTAACTATTGCAAGATATTAATATATCAAAACTTATTCTGCATAGTTTGTAACAGTGTTTCTAACTGTTTAACATGTGAAATAATGAAGTATTTATAATTTTACAAGTAGTAATTGATCTTCAAAATTCTGTTCATCAAACTATACACTCTACTTGAAGGTTTATAGTACATCCCATAACCTCTGTAAATTATACACAAAATAAATGAATGGAGTTTTACACCCTACAGTAGTACAGTCTAGTACTTTCCTTTGCTAATAAGCAGTAAGTACTAGTACAAGTTGGAAGTAGTAATGTCTTGCTATCTCTTTAGTTGAAATAAAAGTTACCTAGTCATGCTATTGGTCTATTGTAAACATATATCAAATATTCTATTCTATTCTATTCTATTCTATTCTATTCTATTCTATTCTATTCTATTCTATTCTAATTCTAATTCTAATTCTCATATTACCTATTCCAATTATAATTTCCAATTCTAAATTCTACTCTAATAATATCTATTCTAATTCTAATTTCTACAGGGCATTTCTAATTCCAATCATTATGAATGATATCATTCTACATCTACTAGTATGCACATGCTTAATTAGTATATATTAGTAAATATAAGACCAAAATTCCGCTCAATATGCTACCCTATATATTTTATACAAAATCCTATGAATACCAAAGCCTTGTTTGAAAATGAAATAAATATGGGAAATAACACCAAGGATAAGGAAAAAAGCTTAAAAAAAAAAATAATGAAAATAAGCAAAAACTAACTTTGGTTTGTACAAGCTTAACTCCTCTTCAACTTCAATTAATTTAGTTTTTAATTCATTTCGTTCCATTAAGACTTCTCTAAGTTCATGTAAGGTAAATCTGGGTCTGTTAGGATCTGTTAAATCTATTATCATCTTGCCTTCCATACTCAATCTCTGTCTTAAATCTTCAATATTTTCTTCTTCTTCATCCTACATTACAAAATTATACAAAGTGAGGGAAATTGGGAACGAGAAAGTGGCATTAGTCTCCTTTTTTTCAATTTCCAACTGTTGAGGGGTCAGTCATGTATTGGCCAATCCACAAGACTGGATGATTTTCAATGTCCAATTCCCTCCAATTTTGAAGGTGTTACCTCAATCTCGATATTAAACCCTGGACCTTCAGGAAAGCAAGCAAGAATGAAACTCACTGAGCCACCGTAAGCCCTATTCTTTTCCTACTAAATACATACATGTATTCATATTGAGCTTAGCAATAAAATCACAAACAAAAATATATCTTACGGATTCATCTCTGCTTTCATGTCGCTGTCTACGTACTGCAGCGATTCGTTCAATTTCTTCATTTTCTTGTTTTTTCAGTTGTTCTTTAATTTCTTTCACTTGTTCATCTTTGGTTTTTAAGGCTTCAGCTAGTTCAGACTGTTCTTCTATTAAAGTTTCTGAATGTTTCGATTGTTGATTATTTTTACGCCGTAAATCAGCGTTCACTTTAGCTATTCTCTCTAACTGTAGTTGAAGCTGAAAAAGAATCAAATTAGTAAATTAATGTTGCCTTGGCATTTATTGGATGGATTTGCATCAAATCTTTAACTTGTAGCACTTTTGGTACATAATGCCATTTTGATCTTTAGTGTGATCTGATCTAGTCTTCCATTCCATTTAAAGCCAAACGAAAGGAACAGGTCAGATCCATTGTCACCTTAGCATTGACTGGACAAAATCAAATTTTATGATGCACTTGTCCAGCACTAGTCATCACTTCAAATAGACAAAGTTTCCAAGATCACGTGGACTGAAGGCTGACTGTAGTATTTAGGTCATACATGAATACAACAAGAGTTTAATTGATCCAATAAGAGACAAGATATAAATATAAACAGACTTACTGCCTCACAGTCAATAGATTGTTGTTGTAATTCACGACGTAAAATACGTAATTCACCCCGTTGTTTATCAACTGTTTCTTTTAATTTACTTAATACTTTGATTTCTTGCTCTTCTGTTTCTACAAAATAGATCATAATCATGCAGATCATATGGGAATATGTAATCAATTTAAAGAAGCTTATCGCTAATAAAAGAAACCTGAAATTTTGGATATCAATTGGTAGAGTAAAAGTTCTTGACTATAGGGTTCTTGAAGATTATGTCTAATGTCCTTGACCAAACCTCTTAAACTGTCATTAATATCACACTGATGATTTCATTAATATCACACTGATGATTTCATTAATATCACACTGATGATTTCATTAAAATCATACTGGTGATATCATTAATATCATACTGATGATTTCATTAATATCACACTGATGATTTCATTTAAATCACACTGATGATTTCATTTAAATCACACTGATGATTTCATTAAGATCACACTATGATTTCATTAACATCACACTGATGATTTCATTAATATCACACTGATGATTTCATTAATATCACACTGATGATTTCATTAAAATCATACTGATGATATCATTAATATCATACTGAAGATATCATTAATATCACACTGATGATTTCATTTAAATCACACTGATGATTTCATTAATATCACAACAGCGATTTCATTAATATCACAACAGTGATTTCATGAAAATCACACTGATGATTTCATTAATATCAAAACAGCAATTTCATTAATATCACAACAGCGATTTTATTAATATCACACTGATGATTTCATTAATATCACAACAGCGATTTCATTAAAATCACACTGATGATTTCATTAATATCACAACAGCGATTTCATTAATATCACAACAGCGATTTTATTAATATCACACTGATGATTTCATTAAAATCACATATATTTGGTATTGAAATGTATTGTCTGAAATATACTTACTCTTATGTTCTATAACTAAGTTATCTGTTACATTCTGTTTATGATCTTGTAAGTTTTCTCGTAATTTTTTATTTTCTGTTAGTAATCTACTATTTATTGATATCAATTCTTTAACCTCACACTGCCAGTTATCTTCTATATTCTCTAGTTCCTGGAAATATACAGACAACTCGTCAAATCATGACTAATATATCAGAAAGTGTTTCTAGAAGAAAATACTGAAATCTGTCTCATGAAAATGATTTTTAGTAAGCTTACACTGTTATTCTGATTGTATTATTACTTCAATGAATTTTTAATTATATTTCAACAATTTACTCTGTTTTGGAAACAGTGTTTCTATTTTATTCAGATAATGATATATTAGACCTAATATCTCACAGCTATACTGAATGAGGATTTACTCAGATTTTGTGATTTTTGAATTTTTTTACTAGTTAATTTACACCAGTGTCCTCCAAAGTTTTTTCAAATATTTAGATGGATTTTGTCAGAGCATATACCAATAATTTTCTCACAGATAAGGTTTTAAAGAGAAGGACAAATCCCAATCCTGGGGGCAAGGATACATTAATCACATCAACACTTATAGTAATAACTACCTGATTTAACTTATAACTTATATAACAAGATTATAATCAGTCACTATCTGATACACTATACAGTTAAAAGTTACCTACATTTGATACACCAACAAAAACAGTTGACTTTCATATGACAGATTATATCTTACAATAAAAAATTCCCAATAGCAACTATATTCTTCAGACAGACATCAACTAGAGATAATGTTCAGAATATGGGTTGGTGGCAATTCCCACAACGTACATTTAAATAAATTAACCATATATACAATTAAAAAAAATCCATTCTGTTTCTGGGAAGAATAAATGATATAAATTCAATTTGCAATAATAATTAATGAATAATAATAATTAATTTAATAAATATAGTGGTAACATTTACTCATCAGTCATAGTAAATAATTTGTAAATGGTCATGTTGCAGGATGTACATTATAATTCATGGAAGATTAAACATGAAAGGTAACATATTGTAACAATTAACATGATATAAGCCCTGCCTCTCATCTGTGTGAATACAATGCCATTACAGTAATCCCTATTCAAATTGATAAATTTTCATTACATTTCTCAAACCAGCTGTTCTGAAGATGATTTAATGTTTATAACACAGTATTAAGGTTTTTGCAATTGGAATGTTGATATGCTAAAGTAAACAAATCAAAGGCCTCATATACCATGAGTTGATGAAAGCTGACAAACATCATAACTATAATATAAAAATATTTGTTGGTATCAAATAAATAATGATTATTATGTATATCAATTAGTATTCTATTGCTTTAATAAGGCGAACTGTGTTCTTTCTACTGCCATTTTAATCTCATTCAAAAATAAAAATATATTTTATGATATTTTGGTTAAACAAAATAACAATTTGTTACATGACTACAATATTTCAAGAGAATTTGCATCAGGAAATGCTCCTTGCGGAAGTAATCTTTTGTACACTGACTGTTAAATGATAAAGTCAATGCCTTGGGCTCTAAGCATTAAAAACTGGGTTACTGGGTATATGTTTTATCATTCCATATAACTCAGTGCTGATGTATATCTCAGATTTTCTCATTTTTTTTGGCCAGTGGTCACATTTCATCAGATCTTTGACTTGTCTCCACTGTCTACAAAGAAGTGCTCAAGTGTGTAAAGATAAGGTATATAGTTCCACAGAGGTCCCTTTCTTCTGGAACTATAAATACATCATAATATTCAGTGATGGAACATCATACCAATAATAACATTTTTTTTATAGAATCCTGGACATTTATGATCATATATATTACTATTTATACTGATTGTAACATCAGGTAGTAATAGCCATATTAAATTATTTATTACTATTAATTCGTTACTTTCACTCTTAATTAATTAACAATATTATAATTGTGATTAGACAATTTGATTTTAAAATCAATACTAGGGTAGATACTTTACAAAAAATGTCGAAAAGAAAATGTTTTCTGGCTTCTGTTCGGTATATATTTCAGAGCAATCTAAGAATGTACACAGACAATAGTTCATCCCTAACATGCCACCAGTAAGAGTTCTATTCTGGACAAAATATATGCACAATAAATGTCTGAACGTTTTTCACTAAATGTGTGCTGTCAAGCTATCTAACCTCTGAAAAACAAATGCCAAGCAAATAACACAAGTACTTTTGGCATTTATATAGAAAATGGACCAGACAGGGCATTCAACTAGACCATTATATACAGTCCCCACAGGGATAATTAAACTCAATTAAAGAATTGAATGACTAGAATAGGGAAATAATACATGCTGTTTAATTCATCAATAAATCATTAACAGATTATATTTCAATATAGAATTCAGATTTCACACACTCTGTCTATATCTCTATTATAACACTCTAGTAACAATTATATTCCATTGGGAAAAATCACAATCAATTTCAATATTTATTTTAGACTTGTAATCAAGTGTAAAAATGTCATTGTTAAAAGAGTTATATTAAAGAGATTGTAAAGAGGTTTTCTCAAAATTTTATGTATGGAGGGGACAGTGATAGCATCAATTTGTACCATTTCAATTTTCAATCAGCTGTCTGTGGTCTTGCAATATCATTTATATTATGTGTTTCATGATGTCACTATCACAAATGTCCTTATATATTAATACCTTTTGTGATAGTGAGGACATAAAACCTTTTGCTTTTAGTGGAATTGCTAGAGCTACTGACGTCTGAAAATTGGAATGATGCAAATTGATGCTTTGTAATTTTCATACTCGAACCATATGGCTGAAAAATGAAATGAATGGAGTTTTATGTCCTACTTTCCTGCACCTGATTGGGCTAATGAAGAGGGATCATTTAGCTTGAAAATGGTACTGCAATGGTGAGACCATAACGATTTGCTATATTTAGAATCAAAGTCTGACTGAAGATTCAAAATGTTGGGCTTGCATACCATGTGGTTGTTGAGGTATTATGAAAAAGGTTCAGAAAATCAATGTTTTTTTTAGTGGATGCAAAAAATATATGATGAACAAATAAGTAGACTTAACACCAAACCAGGTGTAGAACTTCCGCCATTGTCGAGTGTTGAACAATATATTTCTATTGTTTACTGTTAGATAGATTTAAATTCTGTTTATATGTTAAAGGAACTAACATAGACATATCAAATATCATGTTGCATAATATTCTGCTACAATGGTTGAGTATAAATCAACAATATCAACAATCTACAATAATACTTGATAATCTTATCTACAAGTAATTCCAGTAATACTTGATAATCTTATCTACAAGTAATTCCAGTAAGACAGGATAATCTGGATTAAAAATAAGGCTAGATTTATACTTTATTATTCTCACATTTCTGGCACAACATGCGAACAC